TAAATGAATTTATTTTGGAGGATATCTATTAAGATAATCACTTATGGAAGTAATGCTCTAGATATTCAACTCTCCTCCTTCTGGATATTTATAAGTTAAGAAAATATTATCTGGATTTGGAGGAGGAGGGTTGGAGGATATAAAGGATTATATTTACTGCAGATCTAAAATGTATATGCTAAGTCACTTCAGTAGTATCAGACTCTTGCAAGGACTGTAGCCTGCCAGACTCCTCTATCCATGTGATTCTCCAGGCATGAATACTGGATCAAGTGGGTTGCCATACCCTCCTCCTCAAGGGGATCTTCCCAACCCAGGTATCAAACGTTCATCACTTATGTCTCCTGTATTGGCAGGTAGGATCTTTACCACTTGCGCCACCTGGATCTAAATATGATGTCAGTTATTTCTGGGGCCAGAAAGCTATGATCTGTATGATAACTTTCATCTGCATGGAGTTAAGAAAGTGAGCCTAAAGCACAGCTGGTTGTGTGTTCTAATCTTATACCATACATCCTTTGGAGAGCTGGCAAAGATTTACAAAAATTAGCAATGGACAGTTCTGTCTGCCACATGCACATGTGAGGCTTCTCTGAGAACCTATACCACAGGGACTGAATGTAAGCCTCCAGGGAGAGCCAGAATCAGTGCTTTATAAACCTACTCTCTTGAAACTATGCTCAAGGCAGGAGCCAGACGAGGTTCCAACTTCACTTGATTTGCAGAAGTTGCGTCCATGCACTGGGGTCAGGTAAGTGATCAATAAATCTTGAGCTAACTTAGCTGAAATCACACTATGTATATTGGGAATGGCAGTCAAGAGAAGTCATGGGCTATCCTAAGTATAGTTGCAAACTCGATTGTGAAGATTTCTGAGGCAGAATGGACATTTGTTGGAGGTATACGGCATCTCTTTTTCTCAGGTATGATACATTCTATATCTTTGGGAAACCATCCCTGGCCCCTCTTTCCTCACCCAATAATCACTCAATTCTTGCCATTTAGTTTAAGATCAAATGCAAGTCCATAATTAATGTAAGGAAGAAGTAATACCTAAAAGAAAAGAAAAGGAAGGCAGGGAGGCAGGGAGGGGGGCTTTCCAGGTTATTCAGTGGGTAAAGAATTTGCGTGTGGTACAGGAGATGCAGGAGACATGGGTTCGATCCCTGGGTTGGGAAGATGCCCTGGCAGAAGGCATGGCAACCCACTCCAGTATTCTTGCCTGGAGAATCCCCATGGAGAGAGGAGCCTGGTAGGCCACAGTCCATAGAGTCACAAAAAGTAAGACATGACTGAAGCTACTGAGCATGCATGAGGAAGAAGGAAGGAGGCAAAGAAGAAAAACAGGAAATATGGTTTGTAATTCTCATACTACATTGTAATAGAGGTGACACAAAGCATTTACCAATGAAGACTTCATGATGAAGAGCTATGTAGAGGTCTCATCTTCAAAGAAATCATTTATAGGACAGATAATATTAAATCTATTCTATAAGATTCTTTAAAAGTACAATAGCTTGCATTTATGCTTTGAAGAACTGATATGGTTTAGTTTATCTAGCGTTTCTCACGGCAGTGCAAGAAACTCCAGGACTCTGTGCAGTTTTAGTGCTCTGAAGCAACACTAACACCTTTAAAAATCTGTATGGCCAGAAAGCCACTTAGCATATTGGCAATGTAGCAACATTTCTCAGAAAGTTGAACATTTGGGAAAAAAAAAAAGACTTTTCAAATTCAACTTACACTATTTTCTATAAATATTAGACACAGATCAAAAAAATGTCATAACACTTTGGTTTATAATGATGAGATACTTAAAGAAGAAACTATGGGTTATCCAGAGACAAGCATGCATTGGATTGTATTGCAAACTGACCTTTGTATAGATGTGCTCTGTCTTCCATTGTTTGGTAACTCCTGTCATTTTAGCATTTCTTTGTGAGAAAGTCCAGACATTTTTAGCATCTTCTGAAACTGTTCCTTGTGTGTGTGTGTGTGTGTGTGTGTGTGTGTGTGTGTGTGTGCCTGCCTCCACTTTCCATGGAATTCTCCAGACAAGAATATTGGAATGGGTAGCCTATCCCTTCTCCAGGGGATCTTCCCGACCCAGGAATCAAACCGGGGTCTCCTGCATTGCATGTGGATTCTTTACCAGCTGAGCTACCAGGGAAGCCCTTGTAGAACTACACTTCCTCAGAATTTGGCTTCATATATACCATTACCTCTCTCAAAGCCCAGTTATGTGGCAGACCCATAATAATCACTGAATTATGCTGGAAGAACTAGTTCATACCACTAACCAAACGCAGTACCCACTGCTGTTTTTCTTTCATGTATTCCTCTCTCTGGTAATTCTCTGCATTCCTAGTGTTTCTGTGATTTTAAACATAATGTGATTAAAACCATGTGTCCCACAGGGAATTATACTCAATGCACTGTGGTGTCCTCAATGGGAAGCAAATCCAAAAGGCAGAGAGACATACATTTATATGTATGGCTGATTCATTTTGTTATCCAGTAGAAACTAACAACATTGTAAAGCATCTATCCTGAAATAAAAGTCAATTAATAAAACAAAACTTATAAGTAAAATTTGTCAAAGGGAGGTGGATGATACTAAGTCCACTCATCGCCCATCTCTCCCTCTGTAACCACAACTGAGAAAAATTTTACTAGGACAATATAGATGAATCATAGCACTCACCCACCCTCCCATTTCAGAAGTTTACCCATTAAAAAAAATACAGCTTTCCTTTTTCTGTTACAGATCCTTTCTCAAATATAATAGCTTGACACATGCCATTTTTGCTTTCTTACAGGCGTTTCTCCCTCTTATTCTCCTTCTTTTTCGTCTTCTTCATCCGCTACTTGTCCTACCATCAGTGCCAAAATGTTTTCACTATTCAATTGCCATGCCTTGTTCTGGTTTTTACAACATTGCTCACCTTTCACAGAATATCTTTTCTGGATTTTCCCTAGGCTAAGAGTTAACATGTGAAGTGGGGATGGCAGGTATTCTTCATGACTTCATTGAGCAGCATTATAGTTGGTTTATGAAAAAGAAACAGACTATAATGAAGATTAACTGTTCATAACCACCACATACATAAGACGGCCCAAGAAGATGTTGACAAAGAGCAGTATCATTCAATGTGAACAAAGTCTCATTTGAACTCCATGAACTGAGATTCCACACTTTATTCCTTTCTTTAATAATCATCTGTGAGGGATCCAGTATCATTAAAAAGGTGAGTCATGGAGAGCAGGATGTAGATACAGATTTGGAATCTTTTACGTGTCCCATGGTCAGTGCCCTCATGAATTAGTTTATGGATGTGTTCTCTGTTGACCCATTGGTTACTGGACCTTCAAAAACATAAGCTATACATCATCTGTCAGTATATTATTCAAACTGAGTACATAGCAGGAGCTCAGTAATTGTGCAATGGCATTGAGAATATACTGTATTTCTAATGACAGATATTATTTAGTTTTGGCTTTCCTACTCTCACATGTCTGTACCAGATATTCAAATACTTTTTAGAGAACTGTAACTAAGATTAAGAAGGGACATAAATCCAGGAAAAACACAGATAAAACTCAAACTCTTCCTGGTATTTGTCACAGGTATTAGTTCTGATGTCCTAACTGTCAGAGCAAAAGATAGATCTGGTTATATCAGGAGTTCAGAGTTACTATTAACATTCTTATACACTTTATTTTGTTGGCGGTATACACATTTGTTGGAGGTATACAGCATCTCTTTTCCTCAGGTATGATAACATTCTATATCTTTGAGAAACCATCCCTGGCCCCTCTTTCCTCACCCAATAATTACTCAATTCTTGCCATTTAGTTTAAGATCAAATGCAAGTCCATAATTAATGTAAAGAAGAAGTAATACCTAAAAGAAAGATAGAGCAAAAGATAGATCTGGTTATATCAGGAGTTCAGAGTTACTATTAACATTCTTATACACTTTATTTTCTAACTCCCAAAAAGTCATTAAATACAATTATACAAATCTCAATTTCTTTAGAACCCTATTATTATGGTACAAAAACTGATTTATATTATGTACAAGGACACTGCACTCTCAATACAGAGTTTCTCTTTGCCTTTTTTATCCATTAAAACATCTGAATATGAGGAAGAAATTTTCTATAAATAAAAGGTCTAATTTGCTTCTGCAAACTAGAACAAACCACCCAGAAGAGAGTGTAGCATTATACCCTAGAGAAATGTCTAAAGGAATAGGATTCAGTGTTGTGAGGAGAGAAAAAGAGCAATGTTAATCTGAAGGCATGGACCAGGGGTACCACATGGGATGAGGTGATAGAAAATGCTACAAAGGAATAAATTTTTGCTGTCTCCATAATTTCTAAAGGGCAAAAATCTCTCAGAGTTATGACAATTCCTATCAACAATAACGCCAGCAGTTTCTTCTTCATACTGATGGATTACCCAGGACTGGAGACTGCTCATTGCTGGACAGCGATTCCTGTCTGCGTCATCCATGTTCTCTCTCTGCTGGGCAACACCACCATCCTGCATATTGTCAAGTCTGTTCCCAGGCTCCACACTCCCATGCACCTCTTCCTCTCCATGCTCTCAGTGGCTGACCTGGGGCTTGCAGTTTCCACACTGCCTTCCATGGCAGCTGTTTATCTCCTGGGCCAGAGGAAGGTGGGAGCTGCAACCTGCTTTGTGCAACTTTTCTTCATCCACACATGTTCAGTAATTGAATCTGCTGTGCTGTTGGCCATGGCTTTTGACCGCTGTGTGGCTATCCGAGCGCCCTTACGCTATGCCACCATCCTGACAACCAAGCGCATCGGGGCCATTGGGCTGGCCAGTGTGACCCGTGGTGCTGCCCTCCACCTGCCCCTGCCTGTACTCCTTGGAAGACTGCAATTCCAACCTGTGAATGTACTGTCACATTCCTACTGTGTTCACCCTGATGTTCTGAGGCTGGCCGGTTCCAGCACAGTTGTGAACAGTGGTCTTGGGCTCTTTGTGATGCTCTCCACATTGGGGGTGGATGCAGTCCTCATTCTCCTCTCCTATGTGATGATTTTGAAGGCAGTATTGAGTATTGCTTCCAATGCTAAGAGACTCAAAGCCCTCAATACTTGTATTTCCCATATTTGTGTTGTATTATTATTTTATACCCCACAGGTTAGCCTGTCTGTGATCCATCGCTTTGGGAAAAAGAAGCTGCCAGCTCAGGTATACATGCTTCTCTCCTATTTGCACTTTCTTGTACCTCCAATGCTCAACCCAATTGTTTACACTGTCAAAACCAAAGAAATTCGAGTATGGATTCTGAAGATGTTTCAACGCAGAAAGTTCTGAGCCTCAGGGATAAAACGCTGGTTATGACAGCCAGCCTGCTGACTGAAGATTTTTCAGAGAGGAGGCAGAGATTTCCTTCCATCCGGCGTGTCAATTAATTTTTTAAAAACACTGACTGAAATACATTGTAATGTTTTTCTAGCCATCAAAACAGTTCCTGCTTAATGAAAAAAAAAAAAAGAATATGTTTCTTGTTTGAGATAGTCATTACCAGTCTGTTAAAAAACTCAAAATTGTTATAGAGGAAACTGACAGCCTCCTAAGAGTATCATTTTCATGTAAAAGCAAGCAAATTAGATAGGATTCAAAAATTGCCTCTAAGATTTCATCCAACTAAAAACCTAGAATCATACAAAATTAAACTCAAGGGGAACTCACTTGGTTTACTATCTGAAAATCTGTCAAAAAAGTGAAATCAAACTATGTTTTTCTATTATCTGCATACTAACTTTTTAGAGAGATGAGTTACACTGGAAAATGTAAACCCAGTGGAATTCTTCAAAAATTAAAGTGCACATAATAAAATGAAGTGTGTCACAATGTGAATATTATGCAGCCCAGAATTTATTTAAACTCTAGGACATCTGAAAAGCAGACACACCCTTAGTATTTTCCAGCCCTTAAGCACTGCTCCTCACTTCCTAATAGAGACATAGGATATTTTGTGCCCTCAGAAACTATCATGTTATAATCATTGAATGATGAATACCATGTATAAGTGGATTGTCTCTGAATTTTAAGGAAGATTTTAAAAAATTAGCAAAGTTGTCATCCTGTGGGGCCATTTTTATGAGAACTGACTGGAGTTTTATAAACAAGTCAAAGCTAGAGAAACTGACTGACTTTGTCAGAGTCTCTTTCTTTCTGGACTAAATCATTAGCTAACTTCTCTGATGGAACTTATCTTTGCCAAAATAAACACTATCAGGTCAAGTAAGTCTGTCACTCACATGCTAATATTTTCCATCAAGTTGTACCATATTGGGGCTTCCCTGATGGCTCAGATGGTAAAGAATCTGCTTGCAATGTGGGAAAACTGGGTTCAGTCCCTGGGTAAGGAAGATCTCCTGGAGAAGGGAATGGCTACCGACTCCAGTATTCTGACCTGGAGATTTCCATGGACAGAGGAGACTGACATTCTATAGTCCATGGAGTCGCAAAGAGTCAGACACGACTGAGAGACTTTCACTTCACTTTTCTGTACCATATTAATAGTTTCTTACAATGTTGGGATGGAAAGGAAAAAGGACACACATTACCCATATTTTATTTCTCCCTACAGAGTCATTCATTTGAATCATATTTATTTACCTATGCTGGGCTAATCCCGTGTCAAAGTACAAGGAAACCAAATTGAAATATGACTTTCTCAGTGTGAAAGTTTAAGTCATCAGAGGAAATAATATTGTAAACAAATAATTCTCCAGTAATTTAAGGTGCTTTGGTGGCAGACAGTACAAATTAGAATGAGGACACACAGAAGAATGGGTCCATCTCCTTATTGGGATATGAAGAGACACACCTTTGAACATTTACTAAGATGTCTCAAAATCTGGAGGAGTTAGGTGTGGAGAATAAGATATCACTTACAAATATTCATTTCAGCTTACAAAAATTGAATTTACTAAATTAGTGTGACTTACAGATAGCTTGAGAAGAGAGAAAAGATTTTAGTATATATCCAGAATACCAAATTATGAAACATCAACAATATTTGAAGAAAAATCTAAAATCATCCCTCACCAGTATATTTAGTCCTGTGTAACTAATTCTCATTCTGCTGGAACTTGGATTGGCAAACTCGTGGCTCCATCTGCTATACTAATGTTCTGGAGATTGTTATTCAGTTCCTCAGTAAAATCTCAAAATTGTTTAAGTAATGTCATCAGAACCCTCTACTCAAGAGTATAATTGATACAGCTATTCATGGGCTTCCCAGATGGCTCAGTTGTAAAGTATTTGCCTGCCAACATAGGAGAGAGTGGTTCAATTTCTGGGTCTAGAAGATCCCCTGGAGAAAGAAATGGCAACCCACTCCAGTGTTCTTGCCTGGGGAATTACATGGACAGAAGAACCTGGCGGACTGTGGTCCATGGGGTCGCAAAAAGTCAGACAAACTGAGTGGCTAAGTGTGCACTCACAGTTATTCCTGGGGGCTCTGAGACAGTCTTTTTTAGTTGAAGAAGAAGCATCTGTCCTGTGGTTGATTTCAAGAGCTCCCAGGAAAGTGTCAGAGTAAAACAACAACTAAAACAACAAAACAATTTGCAAATAATGAAATACTTAAAATGTCTATATTCATTTTATTATTGACATTTTTCAAAAGGGAAAGATCAGATAAGAGGTCATGATAACACAAGGAAGTTTGTTAGTTCCTGTGGCATTCAAAACAAATGTAATAAAGTCAACTTAAGCCAAAAAAAAAAAATGGGTATGAGTTTGGGCAAACTCCAGGAGATAGTGCAGAATAGGGAAGCCTGGAATGCTGCAATCCATGGGGTCACAGAGATGGACACGACTTAGAGATTGAACAACAAAAATCTAGACAAAATGTCTATATGGATGATAATTTTACCTATTTTCAAAGGTATAATATCTAATTTATAAAAATGAATGAATGCAATCTTTACTGAGAAAGAAATCTTGAGCTGTAACAATATTATACTGAGACATAAATATGTATAATTTATAAAAATTTATTAAATACATATCCAAGACATAGAAGTTCAGAATTTCAGAATATCTTTATAGGTACTAAATGCCTGCATTTTAATTAAACTGCCAACTGAAAACTACTGCTACATTCAAATTAAAGAAGTAGGTCATGACCCAATAAACATTTTATAAAATAAATTTAATTACTATTAATACACTGTAGTTCCCTTCTATCAGGCAAAGCACCTTTAGGTTTCTGACTAATAGATATGGATTATGAAGAGCAAGACATTAACAAATCTCTAGGAACTACCATACATACAGAATAGAACTTGTGAGATATTTATATTAACAACATTTTAATTGCACCAATTTAACCTAGGGAAAACAGAGCATCTCTTCTAATTTGACAATTCTTCCTATTGAATCCATCCATTGTAACATACCAAATAAACTTAAATACTTCTAGCACCTCCCTTTTTATAAGGTGAAATAACAAATCTTTGTGATTTTCCAGTGGCCAATGGGAAATCTGAAAGATTATTTTAAGAGGAAATATATTCTGAAGGTTTTTTTTTTTTTTTGACTGCAGTAAAATTGAAAGCTTTAATTTTATTTTATTTTTAGGATTCAATTTTGGGAAGGCAAAAGTCAAAACTTGTAAAATATTTGTGCATTTAACATAGGATCCTAGGTACTTGAGAAACAATGCTTGCTAATTGATTTGCAAATGCCAACAAAATTTTAAAAAAAAATAGAATGTAACTGACTGTAAAGAACCTTAGCTGTTTTCTAACTGGGGAATTTTTTTTAATAATCAAAAACATAATAAAGTCAACATAACCATAGAAGGTTTTTCTGTCAATAAAAATAATTTTTCCTATATAGGGAGATCATATATGTTAAAAGTATGAACCTTTATACTGCAGGTTAAGTAATGAACATAAAGAAAAAAAATATCGTCAAAATCTATATTTAACCAAATTGAACTATAATTCTGACTAACTTGTGTTTTATTATATTTTGTAGTATGTCTCTGAAAGATACATTTCCAGAATATGGAAATATTGAAATCCTAGTTATCTTGCCAGAGGGAACATAAAATAGTGCAGCTACTGTGGAAAAGAGGTCAATGGTTCTTCAAAAAGTTAAAAAGAATTTCCATGAGAGCCAACCATTCCATTCAGGTATATACTTGAAAGAATTTAAAACAAGTATTCAAATGACACTCATATGTGAATGTTCATTGCAGTATCATTCTCAAAGGCCAAATGATAGAAACATCACAAATGTTCATCAACTGATGAATGTTAAACAAACTGTGGTATACATAAGAAATGGGATGTTATCCAATTAAGAAACGGAATAAAATTCTGATACATTTTGTAACATGGATGAACCTTGAAAACTTTATGCTGCATGAAACAAGCCAGATATAGGAAAAGAAATACTGTATGATTGAAATTGAGCAGGACCCTGAGGGAGCCCTCTTGGATGAAAAACAAAACAAACGGCTCCATTTCCTGTTTACAGAAAGAAAAAAGAAAGAAAGAGAAATAAAAGACTTCAGTCTCTTAGGCCTTCTGCGATTAGAATGCTCAAGCAGTTACTGATTAGGACAATAGTCACAGGACTCCTAGTTCCTTCTGAAGGGATACAGATAACAGTCTGATGCACATCTTTGAGCAGTTCTATAGAAACCAAGGCTTCCCTGGTGGCTCAGCAGTAAAGAATCTGCCTGCCAATGCAGGAGACACAGGTTCCATCCCTGGATCTGAAAGATCCCCTGGAGAAGGAAATGGCAACCCAATCTGTTTTTCTTGACCCAGAACCACTCCCCCTGCAGGTGGAGGATGTGACTACATGCTGACCTCTGGGAGCATGATTGGAACCAGAAGTTGATGATTGAGATTTCAGAAACAGCATGGTGTTGTTATACCACCAATCAACCAGAAGGTCCATAAGCTGAACACATGTCTTAAGACCCTCTACCCTACACTTTTTGCCTTTAAAAATCTTGATCCTGGGCCAGCCAGCAAAATGGATTCGAGATAAGCCTGTGTTTCCCATGGGCTTCCCTGATAGCTCAGTTGATAAAGAATCCACTTGCAATGCAGGAGACCCTCGTGTGTGCTTTTCCCGTCTTCAAAATTGGTGTCTACTTGGCTAATGAATTTGCTCCAGGCTCTGGTGCTGCAGTTTTCTTGGTCTCACTGTGCATCAGGCACACAAACCTAGTTTCAACAACATGATCCAATTTATATTAAATATTTAGAATATGGAAATTTATTATTTCACATTGGGGATATACTTATTATTACTGAACTGTATAGCACTTAAAAATG